TCATTTAGCCTCCACGTTTGTGTTTTTTTGCATTTTTTTTCTTCTAGTTGATTTCTAGCCTCATAGCATTGTGGTCAGAAAGATGCTTGATATGATTTCAATTTTCTTAAATTTACCAAGGCTTGTTTTGTGGTCTAGCATGTGTTCTATCCTGGAGAATGTTTCATATGCACTTGAAAAAAATGTGTATTCTGCTGCTTTTGAATGGAATGCTCTATAAATATCAATTTCTCATTTTATGTCTGTTAATATTTGCCTTATGTATTTAGGTGCTCCTATGTTGGGTGCATGGTGCATATATAGTTACAATTGTTATATCTTCTTATTGGCTTGATCCCTTGATCAAGATGTACTGTCCTTTGTCTCTTGTAACAGTCTTTATTTTTTTTATTTTTTTAATTTTTTGCTGTACGCGGGCCTCTCATCGCTGTGGCCTCTCCCGTTGTGGAGCACAGGCTCCGGACGCGCAGGCTCAGCAGCCATGGCTCACGGGTCCAGGCGCTCCGCGGCATGTGGGATCTTCCCGGACCAGGGCATGAACTGTGTCCCCTGCATTGGCAGGCGGACTCTCAACCACTGCGCCACCAGGGAAGCCCGTAAGTCTTTAAAGTCTGATGTAACTATTGCTACTCTGGCTTTCTTTTGATTTCCATTTGCATGGAATATCTATTGCCATCCCCACACTTTCAGTCTGTGTGTCTTTAGATCTGAAGTGAGTCTCTTGCAGGCAGCATATATATGAGTCTTGTTTTTGGATCCATTCAGCAACTCTGTATCTTTTGGTTGGAGTATTTAGTCTATTTACATTTAAGGTAATTACTGATATGTATGTTCCCATTGCCATTTTATCAATTGTTTTGGTAGGTCTTTCTTCCCTTTTTCTTTTCTCTTGTGATTTGATTACCATCTTTAGTGTTATGTTTGGATTCCATTTTTCTTTTCTATTATAGATTTTTTGTTTGTGATTACCATGAGGTTTTTATATAGCAGTCTCTCTCTCTGTATATATTTATGATTGTTTTAAGCTGTGATCTCTTAATTTCAAATGCATTTTAACAACACTGCAATTGTACTCTCCTTCCCTCATGATTACTGTTTTTGATATCATATTTTGCATCTAGGTGCTTTGTGTATCCCTCAACTGCTTTTTGTGGACATTGATGATTTTACTACTTTTGTCTTTTTTTTTTTTTTAAGTTTTTTTTTTGGCCACACCCCACAGCATGTGGGATCTTAGTTCCCCTACCAGGGATCAAACCTGCACCTCCTGCATTGGAAGGCAGAGTCTTAACCACTGGAATCCCAGGGAAGTCCCCACTACGTTTGTCTTTTAACATTCCTACTAGCTTTGTGTGTGGATGATTTCCTACATTCATTGTATGTTTGAAACCAGTGAGCTTTTTCATTTTGTAATTTTCCTGTTTCTAGTTGTGTCCTTATCTTTTTTGCCTAGAGAATTTACTAAAATTTGTTGTAAAGCTCGTTTGAGGGGCTAAACTCTTTTAGCTTTTGCTTGTCTGTAAAGCTTTTGATCTCTCCATCAAATTGGAATGAGAGCTTGCTGGGGAGAATATTCTTGGTTATTGGTTTTCCCTTTTTATATATATATATATATATATATGGGATTTATATATAATGTGCCCCTCCCTTCTGGCCTGCAGAGTTTCTGCTGAAAAATCATCTGACAGCCTTATGTGTGTTTCCTCGTATGTTACTCTTCACTTTCTCTTTGCTGCTTTTAATATTTTCTTTATCCTTACTTTTTGTAATTTTAAATACAACGTCTCTTCGTGTGTTCCTCTTTGAGAACACACATCCTGTATGGTACTCTCTGTGCTTTCTGGACTTGGTAACTGTTTCCTTTCCCAGATTAGGGAATTTTTCAGCTACTATGTTTTCAAATATGTTCTCAGCCCCCTTTTCTCTATCTTTTCCTTCTGGGACCCCTATAATGCGAATATTAGTGTACTTGATGTTTTCCCAGAGGTCTCTTAAACTGTCCTCATTTTTCTTCATTCTTTTTTCTGTTCAGCATCAGTGATTTCCACTACTCAGTCTTCCACCTCATTGATCCATTCCTCTGTTATCATTTAGTCTACTGTTTATTCCTTCTAGTGTGTTCATTTTAGTTACTGTATTCTTCATCTCTGTTTGGTTGTTCTTTATATTCAAACTCTTTGTTAAAAACTTCTAACTTCTCTGTGCATCAATTCTCCTTCTGAGTTCATTGATCTTCTTTATGATCATTACTCTGAACTCTTTCTTGGGTAGATTGCTTATCTCCATTCATTTAGTTCTTCTAGGGTTTTATCTTGTTCCTTTGTCTGGAGCATGTTCCTCTGCTGCCTTATTTTGTCTAGGTTGCTATTTGTATTTTTATGTATCTGGTAGGTTACATTTCCCAAACTTGGAGAAGTGGCCTTCTGTAGGAGACGTCCTATGCGTTCCAGCAGGGCACTCCACTTTTGTCACCCAAGCTATATGCTCTAGGGTTTCCCCAGGAGGGCTGTGAGGGGCTTTCTGTTGTGGCCAGCAGGCTATGTGGGTGGTCTGGTAGGCTTGGTTTGTCCCTAGTCTTATTGGTTGCCAGGCCTTGCCTTGTATGGAGGCTGCTGGTTAGTGGGGCCTGGTCACAAGAGGGCTGATTTCAGAACCCCAGGAGGTCCTGGGGCTAGTGCTGGCTCACTGGTGGATGGAGCCGGGATCCAGAAGACTCTGTGGCTGTTCCTGTCCACTGGTGGGTGAAGCTACGTCCAGGGGTTAGTGCTGGACTATTGGCAGTCACAACTGGTCCTGGAATGTGGGAATCTTGCTGCAGGGCCCAGGGATCCTAGAGCTGGTGTCAGATTGCTGTGGAGGTGGGGGAGGCAGTTCTTGATACAGTTGGGTCTGGGGTGTCCCACAGCTTGTGTTGGCCTGCTAGTGGGCAGAGCCAGGGCCCAGCTGGTCCCAGGGCAGGGTCTGGCCTGCTGTGGGCAGGCTGGGTCCAGAAACTGTGGAATTGTGGTTTTCTTGCATCTGGTGTCTGCCCACTGGTTGGATGAGTCTGGTCTAGAGGCTAATGCAGGCTTCCTGAGCGCAAGGTCAGCACCTGCCTATTGGTGGCTAGAGCTGGGTCTTGGTCCTCTAGTGGGAAGGGCCAGGTCTAGAGGCATGTCTCGAGTGGCTCTGGGCTCAGAAAGTCTTTAGGTAGCCTGTCTGTTGATGGGTGGGGCTGTGTCCTCCCCCACCCCCCCAGTTAGTTCTTTGGTCTGAGGCTCCCCAGCACTGTTGCCTACAGGCTGTTGGATGGGGCCAGGTCTTGGCACTCATGAGCTGGAGGGAGGATCCTACAATGGTGCCTACATGGTAGAAAGCTGCCAAATATGGCTGCTGCCAGTTTCTATGTCTCTAGTTTGAGCTGCAGCTGCCTCCTTGACTCTCCAAGACCAGCAAGTAGGTCAGGCCCCTATTAAATTGCTGCTTTTGCCCTGGGTCCTGGTGTGAGATTTTATGGGCACCCTTTAAGTGTGAAGTTTCTATTTCCCCTAGTTCTTTGGAACTCCCAAAATTAAGTCCTTCTGGTCTTCAAAGCCAAATGCTCTGGGGGTTTGTCTTCCTGGTGCAGGACCCCTGGGCTGGGGGGCCTGACATGGGGCTTAGAACTCTCACTCCTATAGGAGAACCTCTGCAGTATAAGTATTCTTGTTTGTGGATTGCCCACTTGGGGGTAAGGAACTGGATTATATTGTGAGTCAGCTCCACCTACCCATCTCGTGTGGTTCCTTCTTTATGTCTTTAGCTGTAGAAGATCTTTTCTGGTAGATTCTGGTCTACTTCATCGATGGTTGTTCTGCAGACACTTGTGACTTTGGTGTGCCTGTAAGAGGAGGTGAGCTCAGGGCCTTTCTACTCTGCCATCTTGGCCGATCCCCCGTACCACACTTGACGTTTGTCTTCCTGCTTCTGAAGTAAAAGCTGCACCAGAGAAGGGGTTTGCATCACATCTTGCTCTCTAGTCAATCCCAGGAGTCAGACCTGTACAGGGCACGTAGTAGGTACTCCATAAATATTTGCTGCCTGAACTCTGAATCCTCTAACCAGTAGACTCTCCTAGTTGACAGGTATTTAGTAAGCAAGTTCATAAAACACTAGAAATCAGCATTATTAAATTCCAAATAAAAGGAAAACTAAGAATAATCCATATTTAAACTTCATTCTTTGACTGATTTATATGGAGACAAAAGTAATGTCATCCAGATTAGTATCTAGTCATAAAAGCACGAAACAAGTGTACAAATTAAAAAAAACAGGTATACAAGAGTAGGCCTATGCTGCCATCATCCTAATACTGTCCAGTGGCCAATCTTAGGGTAACACTAATGGTCAGACATATGTCTTCTGATGTGATTCAATATAATGTATGCTAGCCAAAAATATGTAACTTGAAACTATGAACTCTCTAAAGATAACTTGCACTCTCTTCCTTTTTACTCTGCAATATAAAGGAACCGATGAAATAATCATAAAAATCCTGAAGACAGGACATTCTGCAGGACTAGTGTGGAATCTTCAATAATTCAGTGACATGGGGAAAAAAAGGGTACTGTTCTGAATTGAGAGTTAAAGGACATAACCAGATGAAATGCATGGTCCTGGAATGGATCCTGCTTTATCCTATAAAGGACATTTTTGGAACAGATGGAAAAGTAATGATGGTGTGTTAAATGAGATGAAAATGTATTGTCACAGGGAGATGGAGATTGAATCAAGTTACAAAAGAGCATGTACTGTAAGATCTCATTTTAGTAAAAATACACACACATGCATAAAAAAATACCATATACAGAGGTGTTAATGTGAGTAACCTCTGTGTGTTTTGAGTATGGTATTATCTATAATTTTCTATAATACACGCATTCTGCTCTTGTAATAACATTATTTTGAATTAAAAAAACTATTTTTAGATTAAGAAGTTAGGCCTTTTATGTTCTAATGAAAATTTGTTTCCTTTAAACTAGGTAACTTGGGCAGATTTCTACTGGGAAATTTGCAGTACCACACTTTTGGTCTTTAAACCTGATTTGTTGGACAAACATCCCAGGCTGGTGACATTACGTAAGAAAGTCCAAAGCATTCCTGCCATAGCCAACTGGATAATGAGAAGGCCCCAAACCAAACTCTAGGTGATGCCTGCTGCCTCCAAACTTCATTATTCTTCACAGCATCACTCTCATCAGATACGAAGCTACATCAGCGTGCTGCATAACCTGCACACTCCCCTCCCCAGCTCCATCAAGACTTTCACTTCTGCCATATTCTGCTTATCAAAAAAAAAGGAAAAAAGGTGCTGGGGGAGAAAAGGGTTTTGTTTCCAGTATCCTTTTTATTCAGAGTAGCTTCACCTTATTTATAACTGAAGAAAAATAGTTTCAAATACAGGCAGGCTTCGCTTTGCACTAGTTCTGACATGCATGAATTTCAGTCACAATGGTTTAGTTACATAACACATTTTCCAAAAAAAACCCTGAAAAGCTTTGGACTTCAGTTTCCACGCTATATTAACTGAGTAACTGCATAAAGTATAAACTTTACTGCTAGCTCTTCAGTCCACAAATCACTATGTAAATAACAGATAGATATATGAGCAATCATGCCACTTCTTTCAAAATCTGTTAGTGATTGATCACTGCGCATCTGTCATGCGTGCACAGAAAGCAAAGTGTTGTTTCTCAGTGATAAATCCACTTGACATTTTACAAAAATGGATAATTGAAAAAGGGAACTCACCAACAAAGATTAAAGTGCGATAAAGAAATGAAAAGTGAAAATGGTGGAAATTCAAATTGAACATAAATGGAAAGAGCTGGCTGTGAGAATGTTGATGCTGTTGCAGTTCAAGAGGCTCTAGATATGCAGCCAGAAGAACTTGGTGAAGGCAAACTTATTGACATAAATGAGGAAACTGGTTGTGACAAAGGAGATGAAGATATCCCAGAGGAGGTGAGACTAGCAAAAAACCCCTCACGTTATAAGAATTGAGATCAAAAGAATGAGAACACAATGTAAAGCAACTATAGTCCAGTAAAAATGAATAAAAAAACTAAAAATTGTGAATCACTATACTGTACACCTGTAACATATATGATATTGTACATCAACTATACTTCAATTAAAAAAAAAAAAGAGAGAAGACAAGCCACAGACAGGAAGAAAACATTTGCAAAAGGACTTTATCCAAAATACACAAAGAACTCTTAAAAGTCAACAATAAAATAAACCTGATTACAAAATGGATAAAATACCTGGACAGACACCTCATCAAAGATATACAGATGGCAAATAAGCATATGAAAAGATGTTCAACATCATATGTCACTACGGAATTGCAAATAGGAACAAGGAGATACCATTACCTATGAGAATGGCAAAAATTCAAAATACTGACACCACCCAAATGTCCCATTCTGGTGGGGCCCCAGGAACTTTTCTTCATTGCTGATAGGCATGCGAAACGGCATATACACCTTGGAAGAGAGTTTGGCAGTTTCTTACAAAACTAAAATGCTCTTACCATATGATCCAGTAATCACACTCTGGTATCTGCCCAAAGGAGTTGAAAACAGGTCCACATGAAAACCAGCACATGAATGTTTGTGGCAGCTGTATCAACAACTAGAAGCAACCAAAATATCCTTTAGTAGGTTAGTGGATACGTAAGTTGGGGTACATGCAAACAAGAGACCATTATTCAGTGCTAAAAAGAAATGATCTATCAAGCCATGAAAAGATATGGAGGAAACGTAAATGGATTTTTAGGGCAGTAAAACTATTCTGTATGATACTATAATGGATTCATTTGTCAAACCCATAGAATGTACACCACCGAGAGTGGAGCCTACTGTAATCTATGGACTTTGGGTGATTATGACGTGTCAATGCATTTTCACTGATTGTAACGAATGTCCCATTCTGGTGCAGGATGCTGATAGTGGGGAAGGTGTGTCTGTGTGGGAGCAGGGGTACACGGGACCTCTTTGTACTTCCTGCTGAATTTGCTATGAACCTAAAACCCCTCGAAAAAATAAAGTCTATTTAGAAAGAAAAAAGAATAGGGATATTTCATGACATTGAAAGAGCAATAAAATGTTGGAAGCTGATCCAAATTTAGGATTATGACTATTTACCAAAAAAAAAAAAAAAAAAAAAAAAAAAAAATGTGTGCTTGCAAGTTTTATAGGAAGGTACTGTTCAAACTACTCTGATAAATTTTTTTACAAAAATAAAACTTCCTCAGTGTTTCTAATATTTTACAGTGTACTGAATATTAGTTTTACTATTTTGTTCACTTATACATTTATAATGTGCTGACAAAATTCTTAAAGGTCATGGAAGAATCATTTTCCCCAGTGATTACACACTTTCAACTTGAATAATTTCTACAGTCCCACACTACTGTGCAAGAACTGCCCATATAAACAAGCCATTTATATAGAAATCTTCCAAATAACTATATATTTAGATTATCCCAACCTATTTTAAACCATAACTATATTGGAACATCACATTTTAGTTCAATTTACCTGTTAATATTATTAATATTGAATAGTCTAATCTTAGTATGTCGTATTGTATCAGGAAACATATAAACAAAATAGATGGCCTTATCCGTGAACTGCAGGGCAGAGGAAGGAGAATGTAGTTGAGAAGCAAAAAGTGGGGAGAGGTTGTGGGGAGGAAGAAAGAAAAGTCAAGTCCATCTAAGTGTGACCTTGTTGAAGGTGCTTCTTTCCTCCCAACAATGCTCTATGAAATTCAGGAAAAGGAAGTTAAATACTGTACACATTATTAAGGATTACACAGAAAAACAAAGTGTATTTCCCAAGTACCTTGCTTCTTTGGATTACATCTTCTTACCGTTGTCAGTGGCTGTTAAGAAATGACAATAGGTTATAAACGACTCTCATTTGCAAAGCGCTGAATCATGTCATCAAGGCAGTCTAAAGAAAAAACTTACCTTTCATAGAAGAAATTCAAATAATACTCTAATGAAGGTAGAAACTTTTCTTCCCTCTTATGCACGTTCATTTTCCTCCACATAATTACATTCTGACAAACTTTACTGAAAACAGAATTTAGTAAAACTGATAGATACAGTGTTTATCTAAATTATGAAAACTCTAAGATAATCAGCCCCACTTGTTTACATATAATTATCATAATTCCAACAGAAAATGCAACCACAGCATGTTTTATAAGGAAATATTTCAATCATAGCATCATCATAACCTTTAGGTCATCTTTTGTTCACTGAAAGGACAACACATTCCATTACCCCATCCTATATCTAAATTAAACATCTCCTCACTGAGCAAGTAAGCAAGTGTGAGAGAACATGAATTAATCAGAGCAGAAATGGAACTGCATATTATAATCAGAAAAATAACCATACCTTTTGGGAAGTTAAAACAATCAATTCCTTAATTTTATGGACCATTTAAGTGTCTTGCTTAAGGTCACACAAATGGAAACCAAGTCTCCTGATGCTCCTATCTAACCACTATACAATAACACCAATAACTAGGAGCAATATTAATGTTTCAACATAGATTATCTATTGGTATAAAGTTACAAGTCTATGCGGTGAGAAATACAGTTATGAAAACACATACGTCTTCTATCTCTGTGTGACCTGTATCAACAAAAACGTAAGTTGCTTCAGTCGGCCAAGATACTACTCCAACAACTGTGGCTTCATAGGCTCTTCACTGACAATGGATTATGATATTTACTGACATCAGTCCAATAAAGGGACTAATGAGAATATACCCAAAGTAATAAGTACCAGTTTACTGAGAAAGAGACGATATTAAGCACACAATAGCATCTCTTTTGTGCTCAATATTATGGTTTTTTCTTTTTGGGTCTTTGTTGCTGTGCGTGGGCTTTCTCTAGTTGTGCTGAGCTGGGGCTACTCTTCATTGTGGTGTGTGGGCTTCTCATTGCCATGGCTTCTCCTGTTGTGGAGCACGGGCTCTAGGCACCTGGGCTTCAGTAGTTGTAGCACGTGGGCCCTAGAGTGCATGGGCTTCAGTAGTTGTGGCACGCAGGCTCAGTAGTTGTGGTGCACGGGCTTAGTTGCTCCGCGGCATGTATGATCTTCCTGGACCAGGGCTCGAACCCATGTCCCCTGCACTGGCAGGTGGATTCTTAACCACCGCACCACCGGGGAAGTCCTTCCATATTATGCATTTTTAAGGGTAAAGGGATGAAAGTTTAGAAATTACTAAGGGTGCAAAAATACAACTTATGATCACAAATATTTTTATTATGCCAAAAACATAATATGGCATTACAGGAAGAACCCAACTACATTCATTAAAATAAAAATATGGATTTAACAACAGCAACAAAAGAAACAGCCTATCATTGAAGATACATTAGTACAGGAAAGTTATGAGAAATCCATTATGCGATTTTTAGAATATTCTCAACATTTCACTAAGCGATTTGGGTACTGTGATGCAGAAGGAGGTATTAATACTATTTGCAGGTCCCTTCAGCCCATTACACTAAAATGTGTTGAGTATATTCAATACACTTGCAAGATTGGCTAAGTCTACTGACTCATCAGCTTTCAGAGTCTACAGTATCTGAAGAATCAATGTAAGAGCTTCATTAGCCTTCTAAGTCGAGGATTATATTACCTTAAAAACTTAGGAAGTCAGGAGGTCTTGAAAGTATAATCTCCAAAAATTAACAAATCTTTGATTTATAAATAAGTTTATTTATAATAATATTTACATAATAAAACAAAACACATGAAACTCACAAGTTATACAAAGAAACTGATGTATAATAAAACAGCAATATAGACTGACAGGCAAAAATTTAAAGAAAGACTTAATAAAGAGTTAAATATCAAGTAGACAACTTTACCTCTTCTAAATTTCACTTTGTCACCCACACTGATTTGGAATTGAACAATGGCTCTCTTTAGGAGGTCCCATACTGGAAATTCTGCAAACTGCTAAGTTATATTTTGATAAGAATTTAAAGTTAATGACCTATTTCCATGCAGTACCTAATGCTGCCTTGAAATGAAGTCACATTCAGTCTGCTTTGAAGTGAAATAGCCTGTTAATCTGTTCTGCCAGGCTAGAAAAATGTCACCAATATTTTGCTGATGTGCGGAGATGTGGCAGGAATAAACTACTATTTAGAGAGTAAAGAGAACTGGAGCAGAAATGACTGGGCAACAGTTTCAAGAGAAGCAAAAGCCAGGAGAGGGAAATCAATGAAAACATGCACAAGAATAGGCAGAGTAATAGCACAATTAGTGCAGTTGGGAAATGAACAGAAGGAATTAATCCACGGAGCAAGATAAGGGCTTCTTTAGTTACTATTCACTGGAAAACAACTTAGTGCCTAGCCAAACAAATCTGTTTTAACAGAAGTACTTGGGAGGACCTG